GACATAAAAGTTTAAATTCCCAGCAGCAGAAGAAAAAAAACATAGAAGTTTTTTAAAAGGCAATTGAAAACATCAGTGCTGGTGAGCAATTCTGTAGCCGGAGATGACATTCCGTTGCAGGAGTGGGGAGAAGGGGGCTTTTGCACCCATCCCCGGATTTGATGGGAAAATAAGCAAAGGGGGGCATTCAAGGCCACACCAAAAACAGTGGTGTGTTTGGACAGTAGTGAAAGTAGAAAAGATGGTATTGGATTGGCTCTAATTTTATGCTTCAAATGCCTATCAAGGCCTCCTGACTGGAAACACTTTGATTTTTGTTCTGGTACAGCAGCAATAGATTTCATAGTAGATCTTGCAAATGATCTCGAAGAGATGACATCACAAATATGACTTTTTTTGGGGGGGATTTATTCTTTAAAAAAACAGAAAAAAGAACGGGGGGGGACACCTTTAAACCCAACAACTAATAAAGTTTTTAAAAAGGGGGAAATGCACAGAAAATATATATAACAACAATAGTGGTGGATCTAAGTTTCTATAAGCGGTTTCCAGATATCTAAAAATTAGTCCATATGCTATTACCGTCTATATGCCATGTGTTCAAATATTGATAGAGTTCTAAGGTCCTCAATCCATTGATTTACTGGAGATGAGCTTTTATCTTTCCAATGTTACAGATACAAGGCAGATCACTGTTTCCCAGGATTACGGGTTGTTGTTACTGAAGCAAAGCCAGCAAGATTAGCTGGGTGTATTTTGGCAGTTGATGCCTTGTGCTTGCCCTCTCCATACTTCCAGATATCATGCCAAGGAGAGACCCAGAACTGGTCCAGGGGAGAGAAAGCACAAGCCCACTGTCATTCATACATCCACGTGCATTACTTTTGTGGAAAGGTACCAAGTGGTGTCTAGTTACTGTTGACCCATGCTTAAAGTGCAAGAGCGCCAATTACTTGTGGATGGGTTGGCTCTCCCTCACTCAAGGTTTTCAAACAGAGGCTGGAATGCCACCTTTTTTTTGGTGGGTTTTTTTAATGTATTTGTCATGGAAGTCATGGTGACCTGTGGTGACTGCCCCATACTGTGGGGCTGGAGGATATTCAGAGAGGTGGCTGAATAAAGCCTGCCCCCGCCTCCCACCTCTGATATTTCAAGGAGGTCTCCTGTCCAAATACTTGCCAGAGTTGACCTTGCTTAGCTTCCGAGATCTGACAAGATCGGGTTTGCCTGGGCTATCCAGATCAGGGCTGGAAAGCCGCCTTTTGAGGCTGCTGAAGCTTTGGATTTCCTGCCTTGAGCAGGGGGCGGGAACTATAAAAGGCCTGTAAAGACCCTTCTAGTTTTTGTGATTCTATGAAGTTGTACATGCCAAAGCACCACAGTGGCTGAATGCCCTTCTGTTCTAGGTGGCAAAGCCGTGTATGCCAAGCATCCCTTCACTGGAGGGAAGAATTTGGGGGGCTGGTAACTCACAGAGTGGTGCTGAGCAACGTGATGACATCATTTCCAGCCGTGTAACCGGAAATGATGTCATCATGTCCCGAGACATTCTAGCATCCCATTGAAGTTCTGTGAGAGTTTCAGGTGAATACTGGAGCATTTGGCAACACAGTGAAGTCATTTCTAGGTAAGTGGTTCAAAATGATGTCATCACGTTGTCGAACATTGCACTGGCCCCCACATTTTTCCCTTGCCATTCCCTAGAGTGAGGGCAGGCAAAAGGGGGCAGGAATTCCACTGCCCCCACCTTGGAAACGAGAACCCTAACCCAAGGTTACGCAGCAGGCTTCCATGGCAGAATGGGTGTTCCAACCTGGGTCTCCCAGATACTTGTCTGACACTTTGAGTACTACCACACTTATAGGGTAGCTGCATTAATGATGCAGTCCAAAAAGGCAAAGAGCCTTGTGGCTCCTTAGAAACCATGCATAAATTCGCCTTTAAGTTTGCACGAGACTCTGTTACTTCTACTTGCACTCTGTGATTTTTAAACCTTTATTCTTTAATCTCTCACACACACTCAGGTATTATAAATATAATCTACATTTCCTTCAGAGTATTTCTTCTGTGGCTCTGTTGTTTCCAAGATAATCAGAAGCAGGAAATGCTTCTAAATGTGCCTGTTTTAGCTGCCAAAGACTTTGCCTAAACTTTGGATGTATGCCTCACCTATTGAAATTAAGCTTTTAACGTAAGCTTTGAAGTTGTCATTGTACACTGTAGAAGGAAGATCCTGAACTTCCTGACTGTGGAACTGATCTAGGGGGAGGGGTTGGGTTGGGGGGGGCAGCGCAGGGCAGTGCAGCCATTTTGGGCAGGTGGCCCCCTTTCTCAGAACTGTTTGGGGACAGCCTTTTCAAATGTTCAGACAGCAGCTCAATTCTCTCCTGTACGGATATAAGAAAACAGCTAAGAATTTTTGTGGGAGCGTATTTCCTTGCAACTTTTTTTTTTAACAAACACCCACTTTAAAATCTGTACCAGTAAAAAAACAAAAAAGAGCAAAAACCTTTGTATAAAGAAGAGGAAGAAGAGATTGGATTTATACTCCGCCCTTCACTCGGAGTCTCAGAGCGGCTTACAAACTCCTTTTTCTTTCCTTCCCCTCCCCACAACAGACACCCTGTGAGGTAGGTGGGGCTGAGAGAGCTCTTTCCAGAACTGTCCTTGAGAGAACAACTCTGATAGAACTATGGCTTGCCCAAGTCAGCAGTTGCAAGTGGAGGAGTGGGGAATCAAACCCGGTTCTCCCAGATTAGAGTCCGCACATTTAGCCACTACGCCATACTGGCTGGTCAAGCTTCCTTTCTCAAATCCCCCACGTTTTTAAAGTTTCTAATCTCTGGACTTTGTTGAGGCAACATAGGTGTCTCCTAAAAAATAATTAAGGGGGGAACATGGCCATAATGTTCAAGGATCTCCTAGAGTGACCAACCTCAAGATGGTACCTGGAGTTATCCCAGAATTACAACTGATCTCCAGGCTAGAGAGATTAGTTCCTTTGGAGGGAATGGCAGCTTTTAAAGGCAGGCTCAGTGGTATCACATGCGCACTGAGCTCCCTCCTCTCCAAAACTACGCCCTCTCTGGGCACCATCCCCAAATTTCCAAGGATCTCCCAAGTTGACATTGGCAACTTTAGAGTTCAAGGTCCACACAAACACACGCTAGCAGTAGGGGTGCCAACTCTAGGTTGGGAAATTACTGGAGATTTGGGGGATGGAGCCTGAGAAAGGGAGGGACCTCGGTGGGGAATAATGACACAGAGTCCACCGTCCAAAGCGGCCATGTTCTCCGGGGGAGCTGATCTCTGTACACTGGAGTTGTAATTTCGGAAGACTGGCCGCTCTAACTCACAGAAGCCTAGCACAGTGTCCATAGTTTTCACGATCAAGTCGCAGCCTTCCCTGCTGTTAAATGTCCATCGACAGGAACAGCAGTTTGGGTGGGGTTCTGTAGAAGATGTAGGAAGGATCTGTTTTGTGAGGGACCGTTTGCCCCTCAGTTCTTTCGATGGAACCCAATGGGGTAGCTTTTCTGAATTTCACGTTTTTTAAGTGTATTTCTTTATTTTGAAATTCTTATTACATACGATTTGCAAAAATCCATAAGTTAATTAAGGCAATTCAGTGAGACAAACTAACTGTGAATAAGTGAGTATATCACCAGAAACAGTGAGGTAAGCACATCATAGAAAGCATATGATGCAAAATGTTCAGAAAAACAATGTACCTTCGGCTTCAAAAGGGAATTAGATAAGCATATGGAGCAGAGGTCCATCAGTGGCTATTAGCCACAAGGTATAGATAGGGACTCTGGGGCAAGTGATGCTCTGTCATCTTGGTGCTTGGGGGGGTCAACAGTGGGAGGGCTTCTAATGTCCTGGCCCCACTGGTGGACCTCCTGATGGCACTGGTATTTCTGGCCACTGTGCGATACAGAGTGCTGGACTGGATGGGCCTTTGGCCTGATCCAACATTGGCGTCTCTTATGTTCTTATGAATTACTACTACTGCATGTAATTAATTTATGTATGATGAATTTGCTTCAGTTGGTAACCATTCATTCTCAGTTTTCAAATAAACCAGTCTACTTATCCCTCAAATATATATCTTCTTTGGTGTGTGTGTGTGTGTGTGTGTGTGTGTGTGTGTGTGTGTGTGTCCGTGCCTGGAAGTCACTGAGACCTCTGGTGACTCCTACTGGGGCACGGAGGACGTTCAGAGCAGTGGCTTGATAGCTTGCCTCTCCCTCCCGACCCTGACATTCTTTGGAGGTCTCCCATCCAAATACTTGCCAGGGTCCAAGATCTGACAAGATTGGGTTTGTCTGGGCTATCCAGGTCAGGGCCCTGAAATATATATTCTCAATTGTCTATCGTGTTTATTTCTTTTTTATTAATGAAAGATGTCAATAAAATACCTGGCAGCCAAAGAATCATTACAGTTCAGCGGTGAAGATGGGTTCAATATGATGAGCTTGGGTTTTATGGCATCCTTGCAAATAAGATCATGTTACTAGTCTACCTGATGCACACTGATATTAATGATTTGTGGTGCCTTGATAGTCTGAAGGGGGAAGGGAATACCAATTTTCTTTCATTTTATAAGAAGTTCCTGTTTGACAGTCTGAAGATGATTTTTAATATCCAGAGGTATGCAGACAAGCTAGGGTTTACAAACCTAGTTGGCTCTTTGTATAACACCACTTACATTTGTCAGTTGTATTTGTAGCTTAGATGATGATGAAGGTAAAGTAACAGGCTTTGGTCTCTTGGCAGCTTCACGGTTACATGGATAACAAACCCCTCGGCCTTCAGATCTTCATCGGAACAGCAGATGAGCGGATCCTCAAGCCTCACGCTTTTTACCAAGTCCACCGCATTACAGGCAAGACGGTCACCACCACCAGCTATGAGAAAATCGTCGGCAACACCAAAGTGCTGGAAATCCCTCTGGAGCCGAAAAACAACATGAAAGCAACGTAAGGATGCTAGTAGGACAAGAGTCTTGATTGGGAAGATGAGAGGAAAACCAGACTCTTAGGGTCAAGTGAGAGAAGAGCCTTTGGCCCTCTTTAAAAACAAAAACAGAAAAGCTGCTAGTCCCAGGCAGTTGTTTTGAAAGACTGCATAGTGGTTAAAGTGTCACACAAGGACAGGGGTCCCCGTGGCGCCTGCCAACACCTTTCCTGGTGCCCAACAAGTGGTTTTAGAAAGGGGGCAGGGCCAGGTGGGCCTTTTGTCCAGCAAGGCTTCTGATTAGTCTTTGGAGATTTGATTTTCAAAAAACATTGCCTTGGCAACACACAGGTGCCGCCACAGCACAAGGATCTTCACTTTGTAACTGAAGGTAAGCTGCGGCAGCCATTTTGTGGACGGCTGTACCTCCTGTGAGCCAGTTTGGTGTAGTGGTTAAGTGTGCGGACTCTAATCTGGGAGAACCACGTTTGATTCCCCACTCCTCCACTTGCAGCTGCTGGATGACCTTGGGCAAGCCATAGTTCTGTCAGAGCTGTGCTTGAAAGAGCAGCTCTTGAAAGAGCTCTCTCAGCCCCACCTACCTCACAGGGTGTCTGTTGTGGGGAGGAGGGAGGGAAAGGAATTTGTAAGCCACTCTGAGACTCCGAGTGAAGGGCGGGGTATAATCTCTTCTCTTCTGGGTGCCAGTTTGGTGTAGTGGTTAAGTGCACAGACTCTAATCTGGGAGAACCGGGTTTGATTCCCCACTCCTCCACTTGCAGTCGCTGGATGACCTTGGGCAAGCCATAGTTCTTTCAGAGGTGTTCTTGAAAAAGAGCAGTTGCTGTCAGAGCTCTCTCAGCCCTGCCTTCCTCACAGGGTGCCTGTTGTGGGGAGGGGAAGGTAAAGGAGTTTGTAAGCCACTCTGAGACTCCTTTGGGTAGTGAAGGACGGGGTATAAATCCAATTTCTTCTTCTTCTTCTCTCTTTTGGGGCAGCCATTTTGGGGCTGCACCCATCGCGCTGTGTCAGAATTCCAAATGTGCCCATAGTCTCAAAAAGGTTGGTAACCCCTGTGCTAGGATCTAGATCAACTTCCTTTCTGGACAGGTAACTCTGTGTGGCTGTTTGAAGGGTGAAAGGATGTTGGGGGGGGGTAACACTCTAGTTTTGGGGCAAACGCTATGGTTTCAAAGGCAAAAAGCCACAGAACTTTGCCCCAAAACTAGAGCGTCACCCCCCGACATCCTCCCAACATCCTTATGGTGTGCACGCCAGAAAATTCCTGACCGGAGCCTGGATCCCCCCACTGACAGCCAGATAGGACCTGGCAACCCTATGGGCCTCACAGGAACACATATAATTTTATTATGGCACAGAAGCTGTTCTTGTATGGCACATAGCTTGGGAATTGCAGTGCTAGAGGGTGTGTAAATGGTACCCAGATCCACGTTCAGCAATCTAAAGGACATGTTTCAAGAAACAGGCCTACAGAAGTGATTTTTGAATCTGCTGTTCTAATCAATGGGGCAAAAATGGGCCAGTTGCTTAGAACTTTCATGTCTCACAAATGCACTTTGGAGTGGGGCTTGTTCAGATGGAGATTTCTATTTGTTTCTCAGGATTGACTGCGCCGGGATCCTCAAGCTGCGCAATGCAGATATTGAACTCCGGAAAGGGGAGACAGATATCGGTCGGAAGAACACCCGAGTGCGGCTGGTCTTCCGGGTGCACATCCCTGAATCCAGTGGCAGGATAGTTTCTTTGCAAGTGGCGTCGAACCCCATTGAATGCTGTAAGTCACATTTCTGTATAAACGTCATTGTTTTCGAATCTTTGGTCAAGGGCCAAGTCTGGGTTCAGATCCTCACCCTGCCTTGAAGTTCACAGGTTGGCCTTAGGCCAATGTGTGAGGCTTTTCAGCCTAGCCTAAGTCAGAGGGTGGTTGTGAGGTTAAAGATGGAAGAGAGCTGAGCAGTGTCTGCTGCAGGAGCAGACCAGGAAGTGAAAAAGGGCTCAGCCAGTCAAGCTGAGCAGCCCCTGTGGTGCTATAAGCTCAGTGTGGCTGACAGTGGGCAGTAGCTCTTTCACTGCATCATCCCCCCAAACTGGAAGCAGTGCTGGAGGAGACAGTTGGTGAGCTGACAGAAACTGCTTTGGCTGATAAGGAGTCTGGGCCAAGTGGCACTGGAGGCTCAGGCAAAGTTCCTGGGGCGTGGCTCTTCTTTAGGGTTAAAACCTCCAAAGGAAGTTTAGAAAACTTATTGAGGGCCAAAAGTTAAAAACGTTAAGTAAGTGTACAAAAGAGTGTTTATTACAAAGACATATAAAAACCTAGTAGGGGCCCAAATAGAGCCTCATAAAATGTTACAAATACATGCAAAAAAGGACAGTGTAGGACCTGATGCGTTTCAGCTCACAAGAGCCTTCTTCAGAGTTCAAATAGTGCAAAATACAACAAGCAACAGAGTCCCTGTAACACATGTAAGGCAATTAACAGTAAATAAAATAGGACCAAAATTGGAATGTTCCAATATGGAATTGAATGATGCACCAAAAAAATTTCTATTTAGGGCCACAAATATATCTGGTCCCGGCCACCACCGCCGGCCTTGCAGCTCCACTGCTGAGCCCCATGAGGGGCCCGGCGGTGGACCTGCAAGGCCGGTGGGAGTGCAAGGAAGCCCCGCGAAGGCCCTCCCTGGCCCCAGGCAGGCAGGGGTGGGGAGAGGCGGGGAGGAAGCAACTTACCCTCCCTCTTCTCCTGCCTCCTCCTGGCTGAATGAGGGCCGGAAGCGGGGCGCCGGAAGCAGGGGGCGGGGCTTTGTCATGTGCCCCGCCACCCGTACCTCACCCAGGGGAACTGCGATCCCCCACGATCCCCCCCCGAAATGATCTCTGCCCAGAAGTGACATTGGCATGTCTGAGACATCAGGGTGACACTCTGGATTTTGGGCAAAACTCGATGATAGAAGCTAATTCTACTATAGAGTTTTTGCCCAAAATGCGAAATGTCACCCTGACGTCTCCAGCATGCTTACGTCACTTCTGAGTCATGTTGGAAGTCACGTGGATACATCGCTGAAACGTTGGATGAAATGTCCTGCTCCCAGTAAACTCACCCCCCCCATCCCCTGCCAGCTGCCAAAAGGAGCCTGGTAAGTTAAATGGCCAGCCCACCCTGGTATGCTATCTTGAGTTGCTTGGTAGAAGGACAGAAGAAAAACGTAGTTAATAAGAAGAGTTTTCGCCTAAACATTAGGAAGAACTTCCTGAATATTAGAGCAGTTTCTCGGTGGACCAGGCTTCCTTGGGAGGTGGTGGGCTCTCCTCCTTTGGAGGTTTTCAGACAGAGGCTGGATGGCCCTTTGACAGCACTGCTGATTCTGTGAACTTAGGCAGATCATGAGAGGGAGGGCAGGAAGGGCTGCATCAGTGCTTAGTTCTTTCTTACACGCCCAGGGAAATGCTGATCGCCACTGTGGGGTCAGGAAACAATTTTTCTCCAGGTCAGTTTGGCTGGAGATCCTGGAGGTTTTTTGTCATCTTCTGGGCATGGAACAGCAGTCATTGTGGGTGTGGAGGGGGACGTATTTGTAAATTTCCTGCGTTGTGCGGGGTGTTGGACTAGATGACCCTGGAGGTCCCTTCCATGATTCTAAGCAATATTCTTTATGTGTATGTCAAGTTCCGTCAAGTTGCAGCCAAGTTATGGCAACCCTGTAGGGTTTTTGAGGCCAAAGATGAGCAGAGGTGCTTGGCCTTTGCCCACCTCTGCAGTAGTATCCACATTGTAGTCTGTATTTATCCCACGTTAATTCTAATTGAATTAATTGAAGCGTAAAACTCAAAGTCTTCTTGTAAATAGAAAGTTGCTTGAAATGCATTGACTCATTTACTCATAGCAGTACTGAAATCGTTACGGTTCTTCCAGAACAGGCAGAAAGCTGAAATGCAGTCATATAGTTCAAAACACTTTGACTGCTGAAATGAAGCCTGAATATGAGACGTTCTCAGGCCGTTCTCTGAGCACATCAAGTTCTTTGCACTTGAAGCCAGTTTCTAGAAAAGTTTTTTTTCCTGCCTTCTTCTTCTGCCCCCCCCCCCAAATCCTGGGATTCCCCAGGTGTACAGCATAGGTTGTGGGGGGAAGGGGCTGCAGCCAGAAAGGAACATCAGCAAAAATTGCCTTTCTGCTCCTATATGAACAGAACAGAGAAGTTTATGCAAGAGATGGGGGGAAGATTTCTGCCAATTTCCCCCTTCGGCCAGCAGCCCTGCTCCCCCACAGGCAGGGGAAGGAGAAGTCCTGAGGGCCCCCCACATCTCAGGAACAGCTTTCAGAGGAAGGGGTGTGCAGGGTACTGCTGGAGGAAAGGGAATGTAGCAAAAACCTCTTGTATGAACTTATGCTGTTCAAGAAGGGCTTGGATCCAACCCATGATGTCCAGGCAGCACTCCAAGAGACAGCAGAATAAGCCACATATGTGATAGAATGGCCGGGGGTGGGAGTTCCCCTCCATACACATGAATAAACTTGGTGTTGGTGGAGAGGGGATTTCCACAGTGTGTGCTTGTGAGGCAGAATGCAAACTGCAGGCAGCCAACAGATCTCCTAGGGAGAAAGGTTTCTTGGCCCGGTAGCATAGGTTTACCCTGTCTCATGCAGGATGGTTGAATCTGACACGAAGGGTGCTCAGCATTATGCAGGATTGGACCCGTAGAACGGCCTCTATCCTGGCATATCCAAGGAGTCTTAGTCATTTTTGGAGGGCTTGCATTTTCAGTGTTGTTGTTGGTTTTTAATCGTTTTGCTCATCTTGTCTGTTTTGTTAGTAACTTAAGCTTTTTCAGTGGTTTGGGGATTTCAGGCTCATAACAGACGATTTTCACTTCTTTTTTGCATGACTCATATTAGTGTACAGAAATCCTGCAGTTACAATAAACTGCCTGAGAAGAGATACTTGAGAAAGCCCACACACACACACACACACACACACACTTTTGTGGCTTTTGATTTTGGCGTGTCTCTCTTGCTAATGCATGTCTGCTTTGGAGAGTCTCCCTACTCTGAAATACAAAACCAAGCATTTAAAGCAGATTGCTTATTTGTGGTGGGCCTGCCTGGTCAAAGGAGGTCTACTCTGGAGAGACACTTGAAGGCGATGGCCATCCATGTTGTTTGTCTCCAACAACAGGCATTCAAAGGTACACTGCCTTTGTCCATTGAGGTTCCGTTTAACTATCCTGACGAATAGCCATGATTAGATCAGTTCTCCATGAAGTTGTCTAATCCACTTTTGTTTTGTAATTGTCTGAGCCAGTGACCAATGTAGAAACATGGCAGTGAATTCCAAAAGAGTGATGCAGTTCCAAAAATTGTGATGCGTCATGTAAAACACCCCCTTCTAGTTTGTACACTGCTGGATGGTTGCCCGATGCCTCTAGATGTCAACCTGGTTTAGATCCTCTAATGGAAGGGGAGGTGCAATTTCCACAAGTTCCGCCTTTTTGCTGCAAAGCGTCAGTCTGCCTCATGCCATTTCCCAAGTGTCTCTGCCTCCCATGAGCACTGCAGGGGAGAAGAGGGCTAATTAAAAAAAATACACTGGGAAAGATGAGTGATGGAATAAAACTGACACTGTGGTGGCAGCTGCTACAGAAGCAATTTTATTTAAGTCTCCACAGCCAACCAGATCTCCAATGGCCAATACGGGCAAGAGTCCCGCCTGGCACAACCTACTTTCTGAAAATGCTTGGCAGGCCCCAGGAAAGATGGCGGCGGGCACCATGTTGGGGATCCCTAGTCTAGCCTCCTCCTGAAGATTTGCAGCTAGAGAAGGTCCACTATGCCCTACGTATCTGGTTCCATTGTTGAGCCACTCACTGTTGGGAAGGTTCTCCTCACATTCAACCCACAACTTAAGCTCATCAGGTCTGGTCTTTCGAAGGTTTGGGTTTCGAAGAGGTAGAGGAACGAGAGATCAAATTGCCAACATTCGCTGGATTATGGAGAAAGTAAGAGAGTACCAGAAAAAACATCTACTTCTGCTTCATTGACTATGCTAAAGCTTTTGACTGTGTGGATCACAACAAACTATGGCAGGTCCTTAAAGTGATGGGAGTACCAGACCACCTCACATGTCTCTTGAGAAACCTGTATAAGGGCCAAGAAGCGACAGTCAGAACCGGATATGGAACAACTGATTGGTTTAGCATAGGAAAAGGAGTACGACAAGGATGTATATTGTCACCTTGCTTATTTAATATATATGCAGAGTACATCATGCGAAATGCTGGCCTGGATGAATCACAAGTGGGAATTAAGATTGGTGGGGGAAAGATCAACAACCTCAGATATGCAGACGATACCACTCTAATGGCAGAAAGTGAAGAGGACCTTAAGAGCCTCTTGCTCAGGGTAAAAGAGGAGAGTGCAAAAGTGGGCTTGAAGCTCAACATAAAAAAAACTAAGATCATGGCATCCGGCCCCATCACTCCTTGGCAAATAGAAGGGGAAGTCGTGGAAGTAGTGACAGACTTCACGTTCCTGGGATCCCAGATCACCGCAGACTGTGACAGTAGCCATGAAATTAAAAGACGCCTGCTCCTTGGGAGGAAAGCGATGGCCAACCTAAACAGCATGATAAAAAGTAGAGACATCACCCTGCCAACAAAAGTCCGCATGGTCAAAGCAATGGTATTCCCAGTAGTCATGTATGGCTGCGAGAGTTGGACTATAAGGAAGGCCGAGCGCCGAAGAATAGATTCTTTTGAACTATGGTGCTGGAGAAG